TAATCATCATTTTAAAATAGGCTTAAATTTTTCACACATCAACGTTGATGATGTAAAGGGATGGCAATCTAAAACCGACCCGACGGTGACCCGACCCCCTGACCCCGAATTAAGTGATTATTCACCGAAAAATACCCCCGTGGGGACGGGGATGGTATTCAAAAGTTCATCCCCGATGATATCCGAGCCGGGGCCGGGGACGGGGATAGGTGTTTCAGAACCGGACCCGGCCCGGCCCTGGCCCCGCCCCCCGGTCCCTACCCGCCCTAGCTTAATCCCCGAAATGAAATTACAGTTTTGTCCCTGCATATATGTATATCCTTGTGTTTGTCTAGGGTTTGAGACACACACACACTCAGACACACCTCTCACTCACACGGCGCTCTGCTCCGCTCGCTCCTCTCTCTCTCTCACGCTCGCCACCACTGGTTTGGTCTCCTCCTCTCTCTTTCTCTCACCGCCGCGCCTCTCTCCTCATCGGCGATCCTCTGTCGCCATCGATCCTCCCTTACCGCCTTACCTCTGCCGTTCCTCCGTCGCTCTTTCACCGCAGCTGCTTTCTCTCCCTCACCGCCGACCTCCCTCACCGTCGCTCTCTCTGTGTAGGTATCTCTCTCTCTCTCTAGGGATTTCGTTCTAGGGTTTACATATATGTATATTTTATATAGATTCAACCTCTGTTTTTTTTTTTTCCTTCAAAATTTATAGATCTATCTATTTTATCTATAGATCTGTTTATAATACCACAAATATATAGATAAAATAGATTAGTCAAGATTAGTCTATCTATCTATTTTATCTATATATCTGTTTATAGATCTATTTTATCTGTAGATCTGTTTTTAGTTTTAACTTATCATTTATAATCTCATTCGTAATCGTAATCAATCATTGGAAACTCATCTTGATCTGTTTATCTGTAGATCTGTTCATAGATCTATTTTACAGTTCTTACTGTTTTTACACTGGGAGCCGAATGTTGGTGAACAGGTGGAAACTCATCTTGATCCTTAATTATAAATGAGAAGCAGACTGGCCATGGGGGTGAAGAAAAGTAATGTTATGTTGGCTTTACTGCCATGGCCACAAGGTGTTTGATGTTTTGCCTGAGTCGCTTCTCGATTGTCAAAATAGCACACACACTTCGTTTAAAATACATGGTCAAATTTACATTCCAGAGATTAACTACTTTAATAATGATACTGCTATGTTTGGCTGTTAAAGTCTTCTGGGTTTAATTAGGTTAAAAATGATAAAAAAAAATTAAGGGAAAATGTTAAAGTAACTGTTCAGGAAGCCAATAAACTGAGGCTTAGGTGGTGGCTAGTCAAAAAAAGATGAAGTGATCATGGCATTTTTATCACATTCTTATGTTTCATATTGCTGCTTTTAATTGCAATTCTTTCAATTGCTTGAGTTAATTTTCAACACAACTTGATAATCTCTCTTCAGTTAGCTTCAGAAACATGACCTCAAAGTAGCCTTGTGTGTGTGTGTGTGTGTGTGTGTTTGTGTTTGTTGCAACAGATTGGTGCTTTAATTATATTTCAGCATTTTGATTTCTTTTAAATCATGAGAGAAGGTTTTATGTAATATATAAAATTTGTAACTAAATCTAGGGAATTTGATTGAAAAATTTAGATCTGGCATTTTTAGTTTATGTGAGTGTTATTTACAGCAAACAATTGTAAATTCATAAATAAATGCAGGGAATGTTTGTTTATGGCTGTATAACCATCTTCAACATCTAAATGGAATATGTAAGTGAATACAGCCTCAGAAAAGCTTTGAGAATTATAGACAGCATTAGACAAGAAAATGAATTTGCTTGATTCTCACATAATTGTAATTAGTTTTAATTATTACAAATTGGTTTGAGAAAATCTTGCCTGTAGCCTTCAAGTAGATAAACTTTTGACGAACACTTGGTATCATCATTCAGATATTACACTATTCATACTGCATTCCTTTTAATTTTATGTGCATATATTGATTGTTGATGATGAAAAGTTTCTTATAATTTATTCTCTCCTGGTGGATTGCTAAACAGGTTGTTGAGGTTGTAAGTTACTTCTCTTCTTGGCAGGTTCCTCATGTTACTCGTACTGATTATCAACTGATTGATATTTCTGAAGATGGTTTTTAGTTGTAATGGATTTTTTTTTATTATTTTTAATTTCAATTTTTGGATAACCTATCCCTTGCGGGTTGTGCTTGGGATTAATTATTCTCTTTGCTACTTGTTGAATTTTCTTATGTGTGTGGGCTGCTGGACAGATGTTTTGTTTGTGCTATTTTGTTGCTACAGGATGTTTTGTGTTTGAGTTGTGTATGGGCTGCTGAATTTTGTTGCTACAGGATGCTATTTTTTTGAATATTTGATAGATGCTATATTTGAAAGATGCTGCTGGACAGATCTATTGATTTGTATATATTATGTTGAATTTTTTGGGTAGCTTATCTTATTTGAATATGTTGACATATTATGTATTGATTTTTTAGCTTGACAAATTATGAATTTTAAATTTGTGGCAGATTATTTAATTTTTTATATATTGGCAGATTATTGATTTGAATTTTTTAGCTTGACAAATTATGAATTTTTAATTTTTGCCAGATTATTTAATTTTTTATATATTGGCAGATCATTGATTTGAATTTTTTAGCTTGACAAATGCTGCTGGACAGATTCTTAATAGGATGTTTAAAATTGTTTTTTGAAAAAAATAAATAAAAAAATACTGTAATTCGGTCGGGGAATTAGCGGGGTCGGGGATATCCGATCCCCGATCGGGAGCGGGGGCGGGGGGATACGGGGTCCCCGTCAGGGATCGGGGACGAGGACGGGAAATTTCTCACTATCGGGGATCAGGGACGGGAAGTGTGGTCCCCGGCCCCACCCGCCCCGTTGCCATTCCTAATGATGTAACAAACATTATGCAACACATCAATGGCTCCGCCTGTTCGTTGCAGTTCATATTCTATTCCATCCCATCAAATAGTGATCTATTCTATCCCATTAAATAGTTGGCTTGGTTTGGGAACATGTTATTTTAATAATTTTTTGACTTTTTATAAAAAGATGTACAGAAAAACAGAGAGATGATGTGACAAGTTTTAGTTGACTTTTTAACTTTTTAACTAAAATAGTCACTCCCCAAACGATATGAAAAAAAAAAATTGATGTACATATTAAAATAAAACAAGATAATGTATTAATATTCATTCATTAAAATTTAAAATATCTATGATTTTTCTTTAAAAAATATAATCATACAAAATGAGATGAAAGCAGTTGGTTTTTCTAATGATAGACAACTCAACCTTTGTCAAGAATTAATAGTTTAATATATTTTGATATATTTTTCTTACTATATCAACACTAATAGCTTATTTTTAAATTTTTTTTATCATATCATTTTTCTATTTTCAGCACATTTTTTTATAAAAAATTAAAAAATATATTTAACACTTTCCAAACAATCTTTAGAGACAATTTGGGAAGTTAGATAAAAGTTAACTTTTAACTTTTAATCTATTTTAGATCAAATCATCTCTTATATTTTTTATACACAAAATGACAAAAAAGTTAAAAATTTAACTTTTAACCAACTTTTCAAATCACCTCATAATTATTTAGGGAAAGTGATGAAGTGGGGTACAAAATACTCATTCCGTCCTAAAATTTGAGCAATTTAATTTTTTTGAGTGGGTCCCGTCATTAATGATGTGATGTTTTGGTCTTGGAGTTGTGTTTTTTTTTTTTTTTACTTTTTTAATGTATTAGTGCTATTAGTGGTGATGTTTTTAGTGGGATGAATCATTGTTGTATTTTTTATACACAAAATGACAAAAAAGTCAAAAATTTAACTTTTAACCAACTTTTCAAATCACCTCATAATTATTCAGGGAAAGTGATGAAGTGGGGTACAAAATACTCATTCCGTCCTAAAATTTGAGCAATTTAATTTTTTTGATAGTTTAATTATTATATTTTAAAAATATTAAATTTTTAAAACAACAATTTGATAATATAATTATTGCATTTTAAAAATATTAATATTAAATGAGTTTAAAAAAAAGACAAAATTCATGTTATTATAATTCTTAATTTTTGAATCATGACTAAGGGATTGTTTAGGATGTTCTAAATAAGTGTACTTTTTTACTTTTTATAAAATATGGATTAGGTTTGAAGTGATATGATAGAGAAGTGATGTGACTTAAATAAGATGATATGACTTAAATAGGATAGTGACTTTTTAATTTTTTTAAGAGATGCCAAATCTAACTTAATATTTTGAGACAGATAAAGTATTAAAAACTATGTTTTTATCCATTTAAAAATATTTTTATTTATTTTTACACATTTCGGGGTTGTTTGAGGTGTTCAAAATAAGTGCACTTTTTACCTTTTTAGACTAAGGCCAAGTTTGGGTACTTCCAAAAAAGCCAAAAAGTTACTCAAAAAGCCAAAAAGTTAACACTATTCACCAAAAGTCAACAATTACGGCTGCACAATTTGTCTTTTTGGACTAAAAAGTTGAGAGAAAAAATATGAATATTTGGGTTAATTTTTTGACTTTTTATAAAAAATATGTATTAAAAATTGTATAAATTAGTGTGTAAGAAAAAATTAGAATTAAAAATTATGCAACCGTAATTTTTAACTTTTGATAAATAATAATAACTTTTTAATTTTTTAAATAATTTTTTAACGTTTTAACAACGTATCAAACTTGGCCTTTATATGAAGAACTAGTTTAATAATTAAACATTTACTCTAACTTACTTTACAAGAATTAAATGACCTTCCTATTTTCCATCGAACATTCTGGACTCACCCAGATTCTTCCCACTTTACTTTCCCACCAAGCCTATTACTGTTGACAACTTGGCCACCAAGTCAATAGGACATTTTCGTCATTTCAACCCCACTCCTCCCAACTTATTTTTTGAACTGCCACTCTTCCCACTTCACCACGTATAAATTCGTACAAGACCAACCCACATTACATCACCCGTAAAATTCGTAAAAAATTGTCGTCTTCGCTGATCTCAGGTCTAATGGAGAGAGACGGACGTAACTATAATCGTGGCGCTCCCCGTGGCGCTAGCTGCGGCGGCGGCGGAAGCGGAAGCGGAAGGGGAAGGGGAAGGGGTAGAGCTTGGGGTCCTTCACAGCAAGGTCAGAATCAAGGTGGTGGAAGAGGACAAGTTAGGGCTTGGGGTCCTTCACAGAGCGGTGGTCAACAGTGGGGTCCACAGCAAGGTCAAGGAGTGTGGAGTGGGAGACCATGGATTGGTCAGTCGTCGTCGTCGTCTCAAACTCATCAGATTCAGACTGTACCTGTTCCTCATAGGTTTCCTGAACAACTTCTTCCTGGTAAATCTCTATTAGCATACATCTCTTTACTTTATTTATTTAAAATTTTTAATTTTAGCATTAAATTGTTAATGTTAATGTAATTCGATTGAAAATGATTGTCAAATTAGTAAACTTACGCTGTGTTTGGCTGAGGTATTTTGGAAAAGATTTAGGTTTCGTTTGGTGAGTGATTGTTTTAGGAGTTTGGGAAGATCCAAAAAAGCCAAAAAGCTAAAAAGTTACTCAAAAAGCTAAAAAGTTAACACTATTCACTAAAAGTCAACAATTACAGCTGCACAACTTCCAATTCGAATTTTTCCGTACAAATCAATTTTTACAATTTTTTATTACATATTTTTCCATAAAAAGTCAAAAAGTTAACCCAAACATCCATATTTTTAACCAACCCAAACATCTATATTTTCAACCTCAATTTTTTAGTCTAAAAAGACAAAAAGTGCACTTTTTTAGTCTTCCCAAACTTGGCCTTAGTTTAGAAGTTAAAAAATTATTAAAAAAATTAAAAAGTTAATAACTTATATTAAAAAGTTAAAAAAAAAATTATTTTTATTTTTTATATATTTTTTCATAAAAATTAAAAAATCATCCTCAACATATTAATTTTTTTTACCTTATATTTTAGTTAAAAAAATTATTAAAATAACTTATTTCTAACAGTGATGGACATCTACTAAAAAAATGTATTTTTTTTATACGTACATCAGTCAACCTTTATCAATATATCCTTTCTATATTTTTACTTACTTTTTTTACCCATTTTTTTTATTAAAAAATCATAAAGTATGCATATTTAGAACATTTTAAATCATCTCAAAAAAAAAAAAAAAAAAAGTAAAATACAAATAAAATACATTAATATTTTAATATTTTAGAGATTTGGACATGAAAAAAGAAAAATGCTTGTGAAATGTATTGCCTTTCACATTTCACTCACTTTTTTTTTTGGGGGTCAAATTCCTTCCAAATCTATAAACCAATAGTTAAAGTTTAATTTGATGGATAATTTTTGGGTAAATTATAAATAAACTCTTGAGGTTTGTTTAAAATAAGATTTGTCCCTATGGTTTGAAAAATTACAAATACTTTTATGTCATAATTTTTTATTTAACAAAATTAATTAAAAGAGTGAAATTTCTAATTGTTCTAAAATTATTTGAATTATCAATTGAAATAAAATTTTAATGTTATTAAAAATTGTTAATTAATTTGATGATTTATTAATAAAATGACCTATTTATTATGAAACTAGAAACCTTAGGGGTATAATGTAATTTTTAGAACTACAGGGCTAATTTGTAATTTAAGTAAACCGAGGGGGTGTGTTTGTAATTTACTCATAAATTTTTTAAATTTGAATAATTTAAAATAAAGTGTGGATGAGATAATGGATGTTTGGTTGTTTAGGGTTAGGGTGTAAGTTGTTTGATATAAGGGTAAATTATATTGGCATTTCTGATGTTTATATTTATTACAATTTTTTCTCACTTTTTGGAAATTACATTCCCTTCTTGTGATGTAAAGTTTCATTACAGATTGTTTCCTTAATTAGTTGATTGTTAAGCCAACTAATAGATTTTGTTGATGTTAGTAATTTAATTTTTTTAAATATCAATTTTGTCTTCACTGGTTAAATTACATTGACACCCTTCACATTTTAAAAATTACAATTCCCTCCTCAAGGTTTAAAGTAACATTATCAATTATCCTCTCGGTTAGTATTAGTTGAAAAAAAAATTAATTGAAAAAATTTTTATTAGTCAAATTTTTAAATTTTTGTTTAAAAGTCAATGTAAGCTCATTTTTTAAATTTACTCTTTTTTCTCAAATTTATAAATTGAGACAACTATTTATAAATCAAAAAAATTATCAAACAAGTTTTTAAGATATTTTTAAAAAAAAATTGTAAATATAAATTGAAAAATGAAAATAAAATAGTTACCAAACAGGTCTTAGATGGTAAAAATGTCGTAAAATTAATAAATAATTTAATAAATTACCAACGTAAGAAATGACTTATCAAAAGATTATTAGGTTATGTATGGTTTGATTTTTAGAATTTTTTTAAAAAAATTAAAAATTAATTTGGTTAAGAAATAAAAAATAAAAAATAATTATCATTTTTATATAATTTTTAACTTTCGAGTGATTAGAAATAATTTTTTACAAATTAAATATATTTGTTCATATTTATTTGGGCAAATCACAAATATCTCCCTCGAGGTTTAGTTAAATTACAGATACCCCTTGAGGTTTCGGAAATTACATCCCGTCCCCTGAGGTTTGTATTTTCATAACAATTTGCCCCTTGAGGTTTATATTTCATAACAAATTATTCCCTAATTTGTTATGCAAATATAGCATTCAGGGAAGAATTTGTAATTTCTCAAACTTCAGGGGTATTTGTAATTTAGTCAAACCTCGAGGGGGGTGTATGTAATTTGCCCTATTTATTTTTATCGAATTAGTTTTTTTGTTCTTTTTAAATGTCAGGGAGATTCGTATTAAATTGAAATCTTAGAGGTGTAAATGTAATTTATCCTTTAAAGTATATGTAAAGATTAAGGATAAATTTGTTATTTTAACTTAAAAGTTAACACCGTCAAATAATTACATTAACAAAAGGGGTCAGTGTTTTTGTCAGTGTAATTATGCAAATGTGAGGGAAACTGTAATAAACATAAATGTCAGGGGATGTTAGTGTAATTTATCCTTAATATAATGAAATGAGTGTTTAATGGTATAACTAATAAAAACATTTTATGAATGTTTTATCCAAAAAATATAATTAAAAAAATAAAAAAGAAGAAAAATGTCTGTTCTAGGATTGTTTTGCCTATTAATGGAACTGTTACAGATGAATCAAAAGCTTGCATTTAAAAAATTAATAAAATAATAAAATGATTAGTTGCAAGCTCCACTTCTTGTATGAAAGTACATGTGTTATGCCTTAACCTTAATTTGCTTGGACTATTAAATGGTTGATTGCTGGTGTTTGTTCTTCTCAGATTAACTTTTCTGCATGTCCTCTCTATGTTTTATAAAATCAACTTTTGATGGAAACACACATTGTTTTGTTCTTCCAGATGTTCAGTCATTGGAAATTTCAGAAAAGAAGCCTCAATTGTCTATTCCAGAAAGTTCGGATAAGAGGATTGTGCCCATCAGACGACCCGACAGAGGGGGCACACTTGCTGTCAGGTCGACAAGGCTCTTCGCCAATCATTTTCCTGTCAGATTCAATCCGGAGAGCACCATAATGCACTATAATGTGGATATTAAGCCAAACACAACTCCAGGCAGTAGGGCTGCCAAGAGACCAATACCGAAATCTGATCTGCGTTTGATTAGGGAAAAGCTGTTCTCTGATGATCCCACCCGATTTCCTGAGCAAATGTCTGCTTATGATGGTGAGAAGAACATCTTCAGTGCTATGCCACTGCCCGAAGGGAATTCTGTGGTGGTGTTGTCTGGTGGGGAGGACGTGGCAAGTCGCTCTTATACATTTACCATTCAGTTAGTGAATAAGCTGAAGCTTTCAAAGCTAAATGATTACTTAAGAGGAATGCTCTCATATATCCCTCGCGATATATTGCAAGGGATGGATTTGGTAATGAAGGAGAATCCATGTCAGCATAGGATCTCTGTTGGTCGAAGCTTTTACTCCAAAGAATTCAGGCCAAGAGATGACCTCGGCTATGGCATTGCAGCTTACAGAGGCTTTCAACAGAGCCTAAAGCCTACTTCCCAGGGTCTGGCTTTATGTTTGGACTATTCGGTGTTGGCATTTCGCAAGCGATTGCCGGTCATAGACTTCCTTGTGGAAAATGTTGAGGGTTTTCGAGTAAATGATATGAAAAGGTCAAGAAGAGATGTAATGCGTGCATTAAAAGGATTGAAAGTTCATGTTACTCACCGTGTCACCAAGCAGAAGTACATTGTAGCAGGGTTAACCAATCAAAATGCACGAGATATTACATTTACTCTTGAGGATCCAGAGGGTGAGAATCCACCGAGGGAAATTGGCCTCATTGAGTATTTCAGGGAGAAACATAACAAGGAAATAAAGTATCAGGATATGCCTTGTTTGGATTTGGGAAAAAATAATAGAAAAAATTATGTGCCGCTGGAATTCTGTGTTTTGTTGGAGGGGCAGAGGTACCCAAAGGAGCAGTTGGATAAGGAAACAGCTCTGTTCTTGAAGAAAATATCACTGCCTCAGCCAAGGGAGAGAAAGAACACTATTTATGAGATGGTGCGTTCTCAGGATGGTCCCTGTGGGTACGTTTTTTATTTTATTTCCACTTAATCCCTCATTCTCTCTATATTTGGTAGCATAAAATATTGTGGGGTAGTTTCCATGTTGTTTCGTTTGTAGCATACTAATATTTTATGGCTTCCATTTTGTAGCACGATTATACTTGCCTCAATATTTTCCAGCATAATATGTTTGTTACATACTCAATATTGCATCTTTGAAATAATCTTTAATTTTCACGGTTCGCATTACAAGTCTCTACTTGGTTAGAAAAAGTTTAAGGATGGCAGGTGAGTACTTTTATTTATGGATCCAAAAGAGTATGTCATGCCTGAATGCTTTGCAATTATAACGTTACAGGCCATACTTTTTTTTATTAAAAAAAAAAAAAAAAAAAATCCCCTTTCCCTCAATTTTTTAGCACTGGTTCTTCTTGCCCACTAATCCCCTATTGACAATCAAGTACTACTTTGGGAGTGGAACTTCTGGGTGGTTTACATTGCTGGTGCTTGATTACATAACATCAAGTGAATTTTTGGAGAAATTCCGTTGATCTTGAATGGAAATTCATTCTCTGTTTAAAACTCTTCATTGGACTAACAATGCTAAGGACCTGATGGCAGATAATAATCTGGTGCCAAATAATTCACTCACAAGTCACAGGTTCCATCTTACTGGAGGTAGCTTAACACACACCATTTGTGTTTATAGGTTTTAGTATGCATCCCAATCATTAGCCAGGAAACGCTTGCATTGATTTTTTACATTTGATCAAATTTTCTTATTTTGTGTGAATTGTGGGGTTGCATATACTGTCATCAAGCTCTTATAGTTGCTTTCTATATCCTTCTTTGTTCTTTATTACTTAATTTCATTTTATTTATGTAGGAGATTTCAATCCCCCTTCTTTTTTTTTGGTTGTCTTGCAGAGATGTTTCTCAAAATTTTGAAATTGAAGTTGAGAAGAACATGACAGGAGTGTTGGGTCGTGTCATTGAGCCACCAGATTTGAAGCTAGGTACTCCCAATGGCAATGTGAATGTTCTAAGAATTAATGACAGGGACAAGTGTCAGTGGAACCTTCTTGGGAAAGCAGTTGTGGGTGGCAAGCCACTTGAGCGTTGGGCCTTGATAGATTTCAGTTCATATGATCGTTATAGACTGAATCCCAGTCATTTCGTTCAGAACCTGAGAAATAGATGCCGAAATCTGGGGATCCGTGTTGAGGAGCCTGTGGTGCGTCGTTTCACCAACATGAATGAATTCTCAAGTATAGCTGCCATTCAAAAACTACTTCACAACGTAGTTGAGGAGGCAAGTCAGAAATGTAAAGGCCAACTACAACTTATCGTCTGTGTGATGTCTGCAAGACATGATGGTTACAAGTATCTCAAATGGGTGTCTGAGACCCAGATTGGAGTATTGACTCAATGTTGCTTAGTTGGTAATGCCAACAAAGGTAATGATCAGTACCTTGCAAACCTTGCTCTCAAGATTAATGGCAAGATTGGGGGTAGCAATGTGGAACTAAACGGCCCACTCCCTGGTTTTGAGGGTGACGAACATGTTATGTTTGTGGGGGCCGACGTCAATCACCCTGGAGCATTTAATGCATCTTGTCCATCAATAGCAGCAGTTGTCGCAACAATCAACTGGCCTGCTGCGAATCGCTATGCTGCTCGGGTTTGCCCCCAGGAGCACAGGAAGGATAAGATTCTGAATTTTGGGGCCATGTGTTTAGATCTAGTCAACACTTATGCTCGGCTCAACAAAGTCAAACCAAAGAAAATTGTGGTTTTCCGTGATGGTGTGAGTGAGAGCGAATTTGATATGGTTCTCAACGAGGAGTTGCAAGATCTGAAGAATGCCATATATGAGGGAAATTACCGTCCAACAATCACTCTTGTCGTCACCCAGAAGCAACACCATACCCGTCTGTTTCTTGAGAATGAGAGGGAGGGGGGTGCATCTGGCAACATGCCTCCTGGAACAGTAGTGGACACAACAATTGTTCATCCCTTTCAATTTGATTTTTATCTTTGCAGCCATTATGGAAACCTCGGGACAAGCAAGCCAACACACTATTATGTTTTGTGGGATGAGCATAACTTCACTTCTGACAAGTTACAGAAGCTCATTTATGACTTGTGTTTCACATTTGCTCGATGCACAAAGCCTGTCTCGCTCGTGCCTCCTGTGTACTATGCTGATCTTGTTGCATACCGGGGACGTCTGTTTCAAGAGGTCCTGAATGAGTTGCAGTCGCCTCCTTCAGTACCATCTTCGTCTGCTTTGACACCTGCTGTTTCACTTAACGAGAGGTTCTATACTCTGCACCGGGACCTCCAGAACGTTATGTTTTTCATTTAAGCGGCCATGTTGGCCGTCTCAAATTTCCTTTCCTTTTCTTATGAAGGAGAGGATATTTAAACTGTTGGAATATGCCCAGACGCAATTCAACCTCCTTTTCTAAGCACTAGTAAAGAGGTTTGTGCGTGAATCTAATGGGATTTCTTGTGTTACTTGGTACATGGCTCCATACCCTGGGGTTCATGTCTTTGTGCTGCCTGTTCTCATGGTTATGAACCATGTAAAACTAGAGGCATGGTATGGTCACCGATAACTTACTAGTACGGTGTGTTTTGTGGATCTGTTTTGTGTGTTTTGAGGTCTTGTTTAGTGTCTGTTTTCATGTTTTTTAGCTGCTGTGTGTTTAAAAAGGAGCATATGATGTCCTGTGCTGGTTTGATTAGTGTTTCTGAATGTGTTGGTTAAACTATGCTTTTATGTATTGTAATAAATAAATGTGTGCTTTTGCTTTGGATAAATTCCAGATTAGTTTTGTTTTTATTTAAATTTATCAACTGTGAACTTTGGTTCCATTTTGGAGGATTAACAACGCGCGTTCTACATCATCTGGATGATGGGTTGGGGTGTGCTTAAGAATGAATTGTTGAATCTCATTTGTCATGTATGCCCTGCAAAGCAGCAAAGCCATAATACTAATCATGAATCCAATGGCTCCCAAAATTTCCTCCTTAACTCTCTTTCATGTAGATAGAACTTGTAAAGGAACAGAGTTTTTTTAGAGATTTCGGGAGTTTAACTCTATTTGTACAGAAGATAGCAATTTTTTCCTTTCTTTTCTCAATTGAGTCATAAGTGGGGTTTGATAATATGGGGTCGACTTGGGAATAAGGTGTGCCATGCAATTCACAATGTCAAGGAACTGTTGAACCTGTTTGGTGGTAAAAATTCCTTTTGGATTAATGTGGGGATATTTGTTTCAGCTTTTCAGAGTCAATTTATGACTTTTAGTTTTGAAAATGTTATATTGGATTGTTTGGTTAAACTTATTTCAAACAGCTTCTGATTCTAACAGTTTATTTTAACTCAAAAAAGCTGATTCTGAGAAGCTACTCACTCCTTACTTCTGATTATCAGCTTCTGCTGTGAACATGTTAATTTATGGTTACTCTTAATTTTTTTTATTTTTTATTTTTTTAAAAATAGAAAAAGACTCAAATGGACTATAGATTATTATTATTATTTTTTATGAGAAATATAGACAAATAAAAATTAATTGAAAAAACTATTTCACAACTTATTTAACAAACATTACTCAGCAACTTAAATCTATAATCCAATAGTTACACCAAACAGATTAACAACTTCTGATTAAAGTCATAATCTATAATCTGTTAAGCTATAATCTATAAGTTGTTTTAACAACTACACCAAACGGGGCTGTAGATCTAGCAACCACACCAAATTTACAAGCGAATGCACCAAAAGCTTTGGCATTAGTGAAGAAAATATTATCATGTATTACAATCACAGATTATCAGCAATAACCAGAATATTTTCCCCCAAATCAAGACAAAAGTGAAAAATAAAAATAAAATTATAAAGCAACAGAATTAAAATGACAATCATTATTTCAGGTAGATCTCTAATCCTTCGAAAAAAATACAATGAATAACATTTGAACGGATTTAGACCATTGCTTGCTGCAATGAATCAGTGTTCCCAGCGCTGCAACAGCCTATGGATGCCAAAGTGTGTTCATAACTGGCAACTGTGATCTAATCGAAGTAGGTAACAAGAGAAGAGTGCTGGCTATTCTTGTTCATTTCTTCGTGCGAGACAATGGGCATTTCCTGGAAAAACAGCGTCACCAGAGACAAAAAAAAATTGAGGAAGAGTTGATGAATATATTCATATTCATATATCAGTCCCGCTGCATACCCCCAGTGAGGGTCGCGCCCCCAGTGACGTGGCGCGCCCCACTAGCTGAACAAAAAAAAAAAAAAAAAAAAAAAACAGTTTTTTTTTTGGGCCAATCCCGAAGTGACACCTCACTGGGGGTCGACCTCCAGTGGGGGTAGGAAGCATTTTTTATTCACATATTAAGGTTTGTTTGGACCAGTGTTATGCTGTCAGACCTTTCACACTCATGTCATGCTTCACATACAATTAGGGGTGAAAATTTGTGACACGACTCAAACCGTATATAGAATTAAAAGGCTAGAATTGATCATTTTTTAATACGAACAAATATATAATACGACCCGATAATACGAATATTAAATAAGTCGACTTAGTATCAAATCTATATAATATAAAATTCACACGGATAACCGTATACTGAAAAATTTGTCACATATTTTAATATTTTTATACTAAAGAGTATCATAACATTTTTTAATCTCTTACGCAATTACATCCAATTTATCAAAAAATACGTAAAATACAATTTTAAGTTTAATATAAGTTTTGTTTTTGCGTTTAATTGAATTTCATGTATTTTTTGTCTATTATTTGAATTAATCTAGTAAAAAATATAATAATAAAATATAATTTTTTATAAATTAAAAAAATAAAATTAAGTTGAAATCAAATATTTTTATAAATAATTTCATTTGATAATTATTAGTTTCATTAAATTTAACTTGTGAATAAATTTTTAATTTTTTTGTTATATATTTGATATTTTTAGTTAATAGGACATAACACATTAACGCAACACGAACTAAACACGGACCAAAAATGACACGATATGATAACACAAAATAAACGGTTCAAGTTAGTACTGAGGTAAATTTGATAAGAATCCGAGATGACATGACACGAACACGACCCAACCCAACACGGCGCTCACCCCTAACATACAATGCAGAAGAGAAGTTGCGTTGGTATTGGGCGTCCATCGTTAAGTGTCATTTCTGGGATTTCCAATAAGCTGCCCAAAAATTCTCCCTACAAGGAACAACACAAGGCACATCCATCATTGATTTTCAGTAGGATTTTTTTTTTGGATAAATAAGTAAATATTATTAAAAATATTATTGTAGGAGTAATTTTCACAGCCAAAGCTTTAGTTTTGATATTGGACCTTGAAGCTGTCTCATTGCTTTTATGTTCCATTACAAATCAAATTCTGCAACAATTAGCATAAATTTTATTCCTAATATGGCAGACAAAATGACTTGTCCTGAGTATAACTTTTAATCTCTAAATCTAATTGTTGAGGTGAGGGTGCCTTGTGGCCTAGTGGCATGGGTGCAACACTTTGGTGTGCGCAAGGGTGAGGTTAGGGGTTCAACTCCCCCTAGGATGCTAATCTAACAAATAATAACTGACTTTCGCTGATCCAAAAAAAAAAAGAAAAAGAGGTTGCCTTTATTACACATTACTTTCGTACCGAGGCAATACGGGACTTCACTTCACACACCCCCTTCATGCACTCGGTAGCACTTGTCACGTGTAGGCTACAGACCCGCACCCTGCCCATCCCTAGTTCTAATACCATTTTATATGGTCTTGGGTACAATTCAACTCCAAAACTTACTTGTTGAGTGAGGGTGGCCTTATTGCACATCACTTTCATACTCGGGCAATGTGGAACTTCACTTCACAGTCCCCAAATAGAGATAACTCTAGGAGAACTTGAATAATCACTAAACTCCCAAGTTCTAGATAGTTAAACTAATTTAATTGAGCATATAAGGGAATGACAAAAAATGATTCATCTAGTTAGACCCCAATTGAGTGGAGACAAAACTTGGTTTCGTTTGCTTTAGTAATATTGTTACAATAATTTGCAAGCATTTTGAAATGCAGTACTTATATTACCTGCAAAGAGAGCAAGCAGTGTAAAGACAAAGCTGCAATTCAATCTGACAAAATTACTCTGAAGAAAGTGCCAGCTCCCGGAAAACCCTCCCCCGGTGCTCAAAATTTTTGAACTCATCGAAACTCGCACAGCCCGGACTCAGCACAATTGCATCCCCTACATCCATCGAAATCAATGCCACAAACACACGAATTCGGAAGAAATTAACAGGACGGAAATTATAATGTTTCAAGAGTGGTCAGAAATAGTGTTTCATATTTTTTACATGTTCCTAAATATTTTATACATGTTCAATATTGTGCTCCGACTTCCAAGAGTTACGGTATATGTAAGATACAGTTTAGGATTCAGTATTGCCCCACTGTAGTCATGAAAGCATTAGCAAGGTTACCTACAACACAAAAGGACCCCATCTAGTTTGCACTTAAGCGAAATGATGCAATAGCTTGAATCATACATGAAATTACAGATGAAATCATTTTGAGAATATATATCCATAAAACAATGCTGTAGACTATATCAAGTAATATATTCTGATGTGTTCTTGTGTGGTGAAAGACAAACCAGATGTTGTCATGCTCCTTGCTTGTTTGACAGCATCCTCCAGATTTGTAGCTCTAATACAAGGAATACTCAAACCATTGGTGGACAATGTCTTTTGAATCATCATTCCTGAATATCCAAACTTCATTCAAAATTGTGCATGTTAGCCATAATTCATATCCTTATCTGTAAAAATATCTACAGAATCAAAAACAACAATCTAGACATTTTTATACAAAATGACCCAAATAATTTTGATGCAAGGGTATCCATACAACTATTTTGAAGGCATCAAGAAGGGAGGGATCACATACAGTGACAATTCCTCTATGGCATATCAGATGTTCCAAAAGCCGCTCAAAACCACTAGACCCTTGCCGAATCTGCAAAACAGGGGCACGATTTTAAAGGTTCCAACATTGAATTATATATAAAAGAGATTTGTGAAATTTTTCATATTGTATGGGGTTAAAAAAAACCACCTCTTGGGAAGATAGTATTTGGCATATGTGTTCTTACCAAATACTCTCTTCCCAAGGAGTGCAGGATCCAAGAAGCAAGAGCGATCTGTGTGTGTGAGTTAACCGATCGTATGACAAGGGCAGTGTTATAGTTCAATGTCCATTCCACTTTCTTGAAATTCAAAAACTCCAGAGTCACAGCAACCCAAAACACAAGTGATAAGGATGTTCTCAAGACCTATTTCCCAGCACGTCCATTCACATCAACATGCATAGTTTCATTTCATCCATTACCATATGTAAGAAAACTCAACCAAAGGTAATTCAGCAAATACTAGCATCCATTACCTAGAAAAGTTCTCTGGAAATTTCTTATTGTGCATGATGGCATAAATCTTGCTATGCCACAACTAAGCTTATTATGCAAATGGAAACCACTAACAAGCATGCAATTAATAAAATGATCAGAGTTCTCTGAATGATAGAAACATTACAACCTTTGCAACACCGCCAAGTAGGATGACTGATTTTTGTCCCTTAAGACCCATCAGCCCAGTGCATGTTGCTTCAATGTTTGTTGCCTTGCTGTCATCCACCCATATTACCCCATGATTATCTGTGTGTACTGCATTAATAACATCAAGCTTTGCAGAGATCAGTATGACATAATCACAAGCAAAAATATTCCTCTCCCAAAGAACAAGGAAATAAACAAGTTGGTAAAAAAAAAAAAAAAACAGAGAGAGGACTGATAATGCTTTGGAATTATTTCTTCGGAAAGTTTCACAAAAATTAGATCCCAAAAGGATACATGATGAACATAGTTCAATAACACAAACTAGATGACTTCTGTATACATCAACTCACCAATTTCCATCCGGTGAGGCGGAACCTTCAATTTCCCAATTGTTGAACTGATGGCTTCAGCATCAATACCAATATCCAGTCCAATAACAGATAATGCAGCCACTGCGGCATTATGATAGTTGTGTGTCCCAATTGTCTTCAATGCACTCAATTGTAGTTCTGAAAACCCTTGGACTGCAGGAATTCTGAAGCTGGCAACCTTTGCCTCCAAATTGATCTTGTAACATGATTATGCAATGTTAATATCGGCAAATGAAAATAAATTCAAACAAATGCGAAAATACATAAGGAAGAAATTTTTGTATGGGATTCTAAGCCTCAAATGAGAGCACAGGTTCTCAGCACTTTGTCTGGACTATTTTCTATAAGCTGGTGTTTATGGTCTACGGCCCACCATAAAATGTGACTGATAAAGGAGTTTGCTTGACTAGTTGAGATCAGCAATATCTAAGCTTATAGGTTTGTATATTCTAAAGTTCTTGTCACTGTCTGAAATGAAGTGGTGACCACTATTTTTGGTAGTGTGACATTGTACACACAAAGCAAGCAGAGGAAATAAGGAATTTAAGAGATTTATTTTTCTTACTCTGACACCTGGAAAGGCTCCTATCCAAGCAAGATTAAAATCATTAGCAGAACTCCTGACTGCATCATTCAGATGCTGGTTTCCTGGACAGAAAAATATGATAGAATGTAAAAAATGCACTAAATGTGAACTGCACTACAAAATGAGCAAACCTCATATTAAGAAAATATTAAGACTAACACATGAGACAAAGGAAAGGTACTTCATCATCACAAAAGGACCCCTACCCCTCAGTCTCCTTCAAGGTCCACTTGAGGTTTCCCAATCTCCAAGAATCACTATGAAACAAGGTTCATGTTAGAAATACTCGAGGTTGGGAGGAGGGGGAGGGGGCGGTCAGGGGTCTGACACCAATGAAATGCAATAATGCAACTATTTTCTGCATAGCTGCAAAGTAACTTATTTGGCCTTCCCTGGAATTGTTGGTTATATTTTCTCAAACTACTTAATAAAAAAATATCTATTAAAAAAGCACCTAGGTCAAGAAGATTTGAATAAAAAACCAGAAAAAAGTTGGTAAAATAATCAAATTAGAACTGAATGTGAAATGTCACATAGATGAACCAGAGTGAAGATTGAGAATTCACTTGGGGGGGAAAATTTCATACCAAGGGGAAGAATGCCCATCTTACTGTTACTCATGTGAGAAAGAATGCGACATTTGGTCAGTGCATAGTTCTCCATTGTCATGTGTCTTTCTAGATGATCAGGAGTGAGATTTAAGATCACTGCAACCTAGAAATATAGCCAAAGATATCATTAAGGAGGGGGAGAAAGAACTGGACGGACATAAACCAGAGTCCAAAAATCCACTTACTGAAGGACTGAAGTACTTATGTGCAATTTCCAACTGATAACTGCTAACCTCCACCACTGCAACCTAGAAATAAATTTCTAAATGAACTCAGAAATAGCAGTAGCCCCAATTCATCCTGACCTTGAGAAATCAAAGTTGCCCATGACATTGAGATACAAAACAAATAAACAATAAAGATAAACTACCAAAATCTGTAACAATGGAAATCACAGTGCCAATATAATGGGAAGGAGAATAGAATGCAAGAAGAGCCGAACTTGCCTCAAACACAGGGCTTTCGGGAGTCGATTCTAAGCATTGTAAAGCTACTTCTGAAAGTGGAATACCCAGGTTTCCCCCAACAAAAGTCTTAATGTCCAAATGATTAAGCATCTGTCTCCAGTGTCCAAGGTATTTTATGTCAGTACAAAGAAAGGCTAGAAAGCCAATGTAAAAATTTATGTATTATTGATTGATGTTTATTGATATCTATTACAATGATTCATGATTCCTATATATAGAAGAGGGTGAGTGTGTAGTAGGTAAGGAGTAGGTGAAGTGGAGGTGGTAGTGGTGTAGTGGGTTAGGTTTAGTGGAGTAGGTGAGGTGGTAGTGGTGTAGTGGGTTAGGTTTAGTGGAGTAGGTTTAAGTGGGTGAAGTAGGTGGAGAGTAGGTGGTTTTTAACAGCCAATAATTCTTATAGTAGAGCAACTTTTAGAAATAGTAAGAAACTTTGGTTATGCTAGCAATTATACTTTGAGACCCTCATATTCTCAACATTAAAGCAATGAATCAATGAAATTTCTTCTTAGCCAACAGTAATTGGTTTATTTCATTGATGAAGTTGAAAAAGTATTATAACAAGCTACGTCGAAAGAACAAGGAAACAAAAATAATGAACCTGTCCAGCAAAAGTGGCAACAGTAGATTTTCCATTGGTTCCTGTCACTGCTAAAATCTTAGTGCATACTGGAAGCACTTCAGCAGCAAAATCCAACTCAGATGTTACGACCTTCCCTACATGTTCTAAGGATGAAAAGTTACCAACCAGCATGGTAACATTAAAACAACATTCACGATAGTAAGCATATATAAGTGGCTTAATATTCAAGAAGTCACATACAAAAGTGTGGATCTAATTGCTCGTAGTAGCACGTGTTATTGTATTATTTATGCCTAGGAATCCATAACCAACGATTGATGGGAGCAGCAGCTTGGCAATTCTTGTTTAAATTTCCTCTACTTATTAATTGAAAAAAATCATATATAAGAGCATGATTTATCAAACTAGAATATACATAACAAGCAGTCAACCACACAACACGTAAACTACGCTGTCAACTTAAAACATGAAAGAAAGTGATGCGAATATTTAAATTATTAATTTCAGGTAAAATGTAGGAACCATGCCAGTCATGCTTACTAATTGCAATAGTGATGAAAGGCTATAAGCTTCAGGAGGAACTCCGGGGGAAACAACCACTGTATCCACATCTTTAAGCAGGTTGTTATCAAAATGACCAAGGATTGTCTTCACATTATTATGTTTCTCAAATAAGGGATTTCGCTGCAATAATAGAGTATTCATGACTTTGATATCAGAAAGGATAGGGATGTGCTCAATAAAGATAAGTAAGAAAACAACTCAATATAAGTGAAAATAAGGTCATAGAATGTACCTCAAATGGATCCAAATTCTCATTCTGATCAATGGCTAAAACTGAAGCACCTCTTGCAAGAGCAAGTCTCACTGCTGCTAATCCAGATTTTCCTAAACCTATAACCTACAATTCAAACATAATACACTCTTAAATCAAATTTGTTTTTTAAATATACCCACTAATGACCCAGTAAACACCATACCAAAATAATTGGCATATAATATTTTTGCTCTCTCTCTCTCTCTCTCTCTCTCTGTCTCTCTCCACAACATTTGCTCAAACCCATGTCAAGCTACCAATAAGTATGTTGACCCCATCCACCCTCCTTCCCTCAAAAAAAAAATTATGGGTGTTTGCAACTGGTAGAATGGTCACACTTTTTGAAAATTTTTTTTTTTAATAGGTGTTGTCCAAATTGCCAATAACCAACACATGGAAAACAACAAAGATACCCATTAAAGCAACTACTTAAACTGTAAGAAACATTGAAAGCGATGAATTTGAGCTCCAAACAAAAAAGAAAAATAAAAACTGAAATTTCAAGGGAAAAAAAATAGAAAGGAAAAGACGAGGAATGGAAGTCACTTACCGCGAGGGATTGACCTTTGAGGTCGTGTTTGGGAAGGGAAGCTTGAATCGCGGTGGTGGTGCTGATTGATTGCAGCTTCATGCTGTCTATGCAACACAAACTAGCGAGAGAGAGAGAAGCAGGGGTAAAGGTGACGATGAGATGAGCCGAAATAAATAAATAAATTGCACTCACGTTTTTATTTGTCTGGAGGGGTGTAAATAAATAAATTGCACTCACGTTTTTATTTGTCTGGAGTGGTGTAAATAAATATAGTTTTTTATTTTTCATTAAAAGATATGTAATATGATAGAGATATAATATGATTTAAATAAGAGATAACGTGATTTAAATAGAAATGTGTGTTATGTGGTTCGGATGATTTAAGAGTAAAATTATAAATTGAATGATAAATTAATAGATTAGTAAATTGTTGTTTGAGCGATTTTGAACAGATTGAAGATCGACAAATATTTTAAAAAAATATTTTAACCAATTTTTAAGTTTTTACATAATATATAACATTAATTTACATAATATTTTTCATATATATAACCCAAACTAATTTTATATAATATTTTTCATATATAAAATTATTAATTTGTAATAAATTTTACACATTAAGGGGTTGTTTGGGATGATCTAAATATGTGTACTTTTTGACTTTTTACGAAAAAAATATGAAATATGGGTTGGGTTTGAAATGATGTGGTAGAGAGATGATGTGATTTAAATGAGATGGTGTGACTTAAATAGGATAGTGACTTTTTAATTTTTTTGTCTTTTTGTATTATGTGATTTAAATGAGATGGTGTGACTTAAATAGGATAGTGACTTTTTAATTTTTTTGTCTTTTTGTATTATTTCAAACTAGGCCTAAATCTTTTGAACGGTTTCGAATGAGGATCATAAATTTTAAAGTTTAAACCGCAGTTAGTGGATGAGCTGTACGGATTGATGCGAATCGGTGCGATTTTAGTGAATTGGACGGTATTTTGCACAGTCTTAGACTTGTTTGTCAACTATATATTTTAGCTAAAAAGTTAAAAAGTTACTATAAGTTATCACACCACTCTATCTATTTTTCTGCACATCTTTTCGTAAAAAATTACTAAAATAGTATATTCTCAAACGAGGCCTTAAACTTAAATAAGATAAAAAAATGTGCAAAAGTAATGTATATCAAACAAGGCATTAATTTTAAAAAAAACGTATAGCAAGTTTAATAATTTTCATATAATTACGACAATTTTTTTGAGATTTTAATTTGTGCAACATTTACTCCCCTTTTATTTATAATTCATTAGCTAAACGGATAGAAAAATGATATTATTGTATTTTTTATATTGAAATTTATATTTTTCTTGTTTATTTTTGTGTTTTCACACTTTATTCGTTTAACTTTACTAAAAGAAATATTAGTGTAATTATATTAAAATAATGGATATTATATTTTTCTCAAATCTGAGTAGAGTTCAGTGTAATTTATCCAAAAAAATATAAATTACAATCACCTCTTTGAGATTTAGAAAAAAAATACACTTAATCTTATACTACTTAATTATGCTAATCTTCCTTCTAGTAAGACGATTGAAAAGTAATGTGTGTTTGGTTTGAGTTTTTTGAATTAAGTTTTTTGAAAATTAAATTTTTTTATTTTTCGTGTTTTTTATTTTCATTAATTTTTTTTAATATTCTAAACAATGTTTTTAATTTTTAGATACAACTAACATAAATACACTTAAAAAATATAACATTTGTAAAAAAAATCTTTAAAAAATTCACTAAATATCAAAAATATAAATTAAAAAAAAATTGAGAATTCAATACATTTTTCATATTCCTGTGTTTTTATTATTTTTTTACAAATATTTTACTCTTTAGATACATCTAAGTAAGGTACATCTAAAAAAACTAAAAAAAATTACTTAAAATTTTAAAAATATTCACTAAAAACAAAAATAAAAATAAAAACACAAAAAATAAAAAAACTAATTTCTAAAAATTTGAACTCAAAAGATTAAAATCAAATACGTAGTAAAATGTTACTTGTCCTAGTGCCCACACATAAATTGTACTATTATGATAATATAAAAAAATCGAAGGGAAACATCACATCAATAAAAAATTAGATAAATAATTAAAAAATTAGTGAAAATCCTTTCAGAGTAAGATGCGTGTTGGGTGCAATTGCACAAATTGCACAAAACACAGGTGAGACTCACAAGTAATTTTTTTTTATTATTATTACTATTCGATTTGTAATTATTCTTTAACATTATATTAACATGTTATTTTTTCAAAAATTAATGATATATATATAGATTAATGCTTCAGGTCTCGAGAGTTTCAAGTTCGAATGGCGCAAATCTGTGTTCACCGGACAACCGTCCCAAATGACCGGCTAGACGACTAACAAAATGAAATTCAAACCATTCAAGATGTACAAGTTCAAATTCGAGATACGTAGTATTGTCTATATATATATATATATATATATTTGAAGATAAAATAGTCTTTGAATGCTATACACCACCCAGTCGAGATCCCTTCTTTAACTTTTCTCCTTGACTTCTTACTTGTTGGGCCATTGGATCCACTTTTAAGCCCAATTTCTATAATCCGAACCGTTCATATTTTAAGATTTGTTGATTATATCATACTTGTAAAAAATCAAATTGATCAAATATCAGAAAGTATGTGTTCGGATCATCGAATTAAAAATTATTTTTAAAAAAATTTAATAAATAGTTTTCCGAACACATGCTTTTTTATATTCGATTAACTTGATTTTTTACAAGTATAATATACTTAATAAATTTTAAAATGTAAACGGTTCAAATTATCAAAATTAAACTTAAAAGTATATACAATGACCCAATAAGTAAGAAGTCAACTAGAAACAGGATCCTGATTCGGAGGTTCCGCCGTGGTTTCACACACCGACAGTGTGCTGGATGCCATCGGCTCCCATTTTCGGCGACGAATCTATCTCACTGGCCCTCTCCTCCCGTCTTTTTCTGACCTCTTTACCACTCATCCCTTGCATGTCCTTTCCTGACTTTCTTAAGTCAAGATCTCACAGCTAATCTCACACCACTTCAACTTCGTTCTCTGCGGGAGTTTTATAGTGGGGTTGTCCTAACCCTTTTAGACAATGACGACGCGGACGACACGACACTCTGTCGATCACGTGCCTCGCCGCGTGTCCGGCACAACTTTTGACGGCTCGCCGCTCGATGATTTCTGTCGGGCACGGCTTTTGATGAAGTGGGCGCGCCTTTTGAGGGCGCGACTTTTGAGGGCTCGATATATATCTACATGTATATCTTTTGGGCAGCCTATATACACAACCACACAGTGTCCTCTACAACGGTCCGGCATGACCCCGTAAACTGTTCCGACATTGATTTCGGTTAGCTTCTACATCGGTCCAGCATGACCCCGTAAACTGTCCCGACATTGATTCCGGTTAGCTCC